GTGGCCAGGTGCTGCTCCACGGTGGCAGCAGACACGACTTGTGGACACGGGAACCAGCTGGTGGACCCTGGGTGCTCCCACTTGGGGCTGTTATAAACGATGCTGCTGTGAACACTCACGTCCGTGTCTTGTCGAGCATTCTCCTGGGCTGGGACGGTGGGGTCACGTGACCGCGTGGGAAGTGCAGGTTCATCTGGGTTGGGACAGCGGGGTCACATGGTAACTGCGTGTTTAACACTTGAAGACGCTCCCAAACTTTTCCAAAGCAGCGGCACCATTTTTTACCTTCGCGCCGGCACCGCGTGAGGCTTCTCTTTCCCCACGTCGCGATTACTGTTGACTTAGGAAACCACGCGAGGTCAGCGTTCCTGTTTGTCCTGGAATCCGGGGAAGCGCCCCGAGGCCTGAGTGATTGACTCATGTCCAGAGTCCAGACTGCAGCTCAGCCGCTATCTTCTCATCTTGTCCCTGAAAACTGCCGGGCATGCAGAGGCAGCCCAAGCGGACAGAGGGCGGCCGGCGTGCTGGCTCGGCCCCACAGAACCAGCCGCCGTTACCAGCCTTGCTCAACCTTACAGCAAGCAGGCCAGACAGACGCTTGTACAGCCAATTTGTTTTCATAATTGAAACGGAATTAACCGACGGCCACAGACAACTGCTTCACCTCGCTAGAAACCAAACGTGAAGGTCAGGAGTAACACGGCAACCTCGTGTCGCGACACCGTAAAGGTGGGCTGCGAAGGAGGGTCAGGGCCAGCGGGGTGTCAAGTCTGTGCGTACAGGAGGCAGACAGGCTCTGGGAGTGGTGACCTCTGGGTCTGAGGTCAAAGTTCAAATCCTGGCTCAAAGCGCAGGTGTTCTGTCTTCCCTGTAGGTGTCCTTGATTCATCCCGAGGTCGTTTTTCCCACCAGCCGACCTGGGGCTTTATCATCGGGCTGGGTGGGTGCCCGGGGGCCGCCAGGCCTGTGGGTGATGCCCCTGGTGCAGACGCAGCAGCCAAGACCCATCCTGGGGGAGGGAGGGGCGCGGTCTGCAAATGGGCAGAGCGCCCCCCACCATGCTGGAGTTTTAACTCAAGGAGGGGTCGACACAAAGCCTTGGCTAAGCTGGGCCAGAAGCATGCAGAACGTTAAGTCTGCTTAGTTTTTGCACCATCAGGCAAAGCGCAATTTAATTGTGGGCAGAAAAACAGCTCAGCGGCTTTTTCAAGCGCGTACCTAAGTGTGCTGCCAGGTCTGCCCTGAACGCGTGTGGGTTTCTGAGGCACCACAAACAGGCAGGGTGACACTCGGGCTTCTGCACGAGGTTCCCGTGGACGCGGCTCAGAGTCGACCAGAGACCGTCCCTCCTCAAGAAGTGCAGGGGGCGGCGGTCAGCGGGAAGGCTGGGGAGGGTCACCAAGGACACACACCCGTGTCCTAAGCCCCAACCTGGCTCAGGCGGGTGCCGGTCCTGACTCCCTGCCCGTGGACCAGCCGCTCCCTGCTTTGGGCCTGGGCGCCTCACCTCCGATAAGGAGAAAACCAGGTTCGCCCAGCCTTCTCAGCCGTGGGACCCTGCCCGTGTCCCGGAGCCCCTGCTCCCCAGCACCCAAGGCTCCAAGTGGCTGTGCTGTGCGCCACGGACCCTCGCTTGGTTGCACACGGTGCAAACCTGCCCCCGCCCCCCATCTCTCCTCTGCACAATGAGACTTTCCTGACCACTGCCACCTCTCCAGATACCTGGACGAAACAGGCAAGCAGAGCAGGTCTGAGCTCTGCAAAGAACACGAAAACCCTGAAGGGCGTCACCGTGAAAGCGCTCACGTTACAACGGTGTTTATTCAAACGGAACTCTACTTATTGCTAAGCTGGGGAAAAACCAAGTCTGTTCTCTCTTGCGTCAAAAGGTCTGGCAAGCCGGTCACCGTCACGAGGAAATGCTTTCCTCTTCGCTCAAGCGGCACCAAGGACAGCAGTGTTCACAGGAGGAAAGTTTCCGGGAGAAGGGACTCCGGAACCCACGGTTCGAGGGCGCGACGGATGGGCACGTCCTCTGCAAGCACGAACCTGCACTTCTTGGTTCAGCGAGCGGCTCACTCCGGGACGTAGCTGGGTTCTAAAAGTGGAGATTTATTTCTGTGCTGCAACAGGTCACTTGCGTTTGTCAAGCTAATGGCAAACCGTGTGGTGACGAGCACGGCCCATGCTACGCGCACCTGGCCCGAACCCCGATGTGACAGGACGCAGGTCCCTCGGCAGTGAGCTGTGCACCTCCTCAAATCCGTCCGTCCGCTCACGGAAGCACGGTGTCAGGGACAGCGAGAGGCCCGTGAGCAGGAGGGGGTCTCCTTCTGCGAGTCAAAGTGAGCGGAGCAGGCCCTGCCAGGGCCGCCGGCCACGGGCAAGCTGGGGACTCCAAAGGCAGTCCGGCCAGAGAGAAGGGGCGCAGGACACAGAGCCGACAGAGGCCCGTGCCCAGAACGCATGAGGAATCCTCACAACTCGACAGTAAGACAACAAACAACCCAATTGAACCCGGACAACAGATCTGGGCACTCGACCCAAGAAGACGCGTGGATGAGCACGGGGCGTGAGTGCACGACAGATGCTGAAGTCAGATTAGAGCCACGACACGCCCGTGAGGACGGCCGAACAGCAGACCCAATGCCACGGCGTGTGCTGACCAAGACCAACAGCGACCTGCCCCCTGCAGGTGGGACGCAGACACGCAGCTGAGAGACAGAGAAACAGAGACAGAGAGAGAGAAGACACAGAGAGACACCCAGAGACAGAGAGACACGGAGACAGAGAGAGAAAAAGAGACTGAGAGAGACACAGAGAGATTGAGAGACAGAGACACAGAGAAACAGAGACAGAGAAGAGAGAGACACAGAGACAGACTGAGAAACACAAAGACTGAGAGACAGAGACACAGAGAAACAGAGACAGAGAGAGACTGACACAGACACAGAAAGATAGAGACACAGAGAGAGACACACACAGACTGAGAGACAGAAAGAGAGCGAGAGACAGAGAGACAGAGAGAATGGCAGCACCCACTCCCTGGGGCTTAACCAAGAGAGAACACAGTTCATGCAGAGACCCGGACGCAGGTGCTCAGACAGGCCTTAATCGAAATCACCCAAACCCAGAAATGACCTAAACATCCTGGCTCCAGTGGTAGGTAAACTGACGCATGTCCACAGAAGGAGATGCTCCCCGAGGCAGGAAGGTAGGCCCCCACCCTAGGGAGCCTTCTGTGGGAAGGGTGGATGTGCAAACGGAAATGATCTCACGGGTGTGTCACGAGTCGAGGGGAGGCAGGTGGCAGGGCCTGGGGTGGCTCGTGAAATCTGGTGTATGAAATGGTGTAAAAAAAAAAAAAATCTTAAAACTGAGATTTGAAAGTCTAATTACAAAGAAGTAATTTTAAGAGAAAAATACTAACAATCTAACAAAATCTAGTGCTCGTACCGCTAAGCACGATTGGAATTTGTTCCAAACTCGTTCCGGTGGGACTGAAACAAGCCTCCGGAAGGTGGCTGTCTCAGAGCCTGAGAGCCACCAGCCTGCGTGCCCCTGAGCCCTGCGTGACCCGGGAGATGACCCAGCACTGCGCCCACACCGGACAAAATGTCCCTGCAGCGGGAGGACGGCCCCGCGTGCACGCGGGTAGCCGGGGGAGGGGGGGCAGGGCGACAGGCTGACCACTCCTGGGCGGAGACCCATGGGACACGTGGGGAGCTGTCGGCCGAGAACCTCAGGTTTGCCCAGGCCCGGGGAGGGAGGCGTCCCGACCTCACGTCCCAGGGCGGTCGTCATTTCCCGTCCGCGGTGAGAAGCCGGCCGGGACGGCCCGTCGGCAAGCGGAGTGTGGTCTCCCGCCGGGCCAAGTGGCGAGATGCTGCCTCCAGGCAGCGGGGGGCAGGAAGGCCCCCTCGGAGCTCGGCATCCTTCGCAGGCGATGAGGGCGCGTTTAAAAATAAAATCACAGGGGCGCCTGGGTGGCGCAGTCGGTTGGGCGTCCGGCTTCAGCCAGGTCACGATCTCGCGGTCCGGGAGTTCGAGCCCCGCGTCGGGCTCTGGGCTGATGGCTCGGAGCCTGGAGCCTGTTTCCGATTCTGTGTCTCCCTCTCTCTCTGCCCCTCCCCCATTCATGCTCTGTCTCTCTCTGTCCCCAAAAAATAAATAAACGTTGAAAAAAAATTAAAAAAAAATGTTTAAAAATAAAATCACAGGGAGCTTTACGTCGAAGGTCCACACTTTAAAAAGACGCCGCGCTGTCAAGCTTTACTGAGGCAGAAAACCCCGCCAGCCGCTGAAGTCGGCCCTTTCTACGACCTGTGTGATCTCCCCTGTACCAGCCGAGCACACTCCGGAAGGGGTCACGGGGCTGGGAGCCTGGGGGGGCTGGGGGGCAGCTCCCGTCGTGGCAGGCACAAAGCGCAAGCACCTGTGTCCGCGCGGCCCTCACGCCGCGGGCTCCTCGTGGCCGCTATCGACCGACCGCGCATCTTTACCACCGTGGCCCTCGCCAGCGTTGTGTTTGAAGGAGACGCGCTGCAGACAGACCGCAGCAGGAAATGCTGCGTCCCGGCGGAAAGCGCTGCTCGGCACGTGGGTCCGTGGGGCAGGGAGGAGGGACGGCTCTGGGGGTGGCTCCGCCCGGCCTGGCTCGCGTGCCCGGGACGCGCCGACGACGACACGTGTGTGCTCGCGGTGTGGCAGGGAACCACAGGGAGGCTGTGGGGGCGCCTCTGTTCTGAGCGCGCCCCTGGCCCGGGCCCTGCTCCTCCCCTGTAACTGCATTTTGGGTGCAGTTCACAGGTTCTCTTGTAAAGTGGCAGCACCGCCTGCTTCCACGATTCCTGCCACGGCCAGCAGCCGCCGCCCACGGCTTCGCGGCCTGACGTATCCCCAACACCCGCAGCGGGCCCAGAGGGGAAGGCCCCAGGGAGGTGTCCTGGGCCGGGTCTCCGGCACGCTCTACTGTGCGGGCCCGGGCGGCCCACACTCACCTGGCGAGGGGTGGTGGGCTGGAGGGGGCGAGGCGAAGTCCAGCTTATCTTTGAGGTCGTCTTCGTTCTCCCTCTGCCATTGTAGGCCCACCTTCTCCCAGAGGCTGGCGGCTGCGAGCCTGTGGGACAACATACGTGTCAGGCGGGCATGCAGAAGGCCGGAGCCACGTCCGCCCCCGAGGGCGCTGGGAACTCCGAGGGCTTCTGACGGCTCTGCTCACGGTGCTAAACCCAGATGGACTCCTTCACGTGCCCGAAGCACCGGGAGCTCTCGACTATTTAAAAGCCGCAGACGCGTCCCGTGGGACACACGATCCCACAGCAAGCAGGACAGAGGGGACGAGGCGGCCTCCAGGAGGGACTCCGCAGCAGACACAGCACCGCTGCTGTAAGTGACAACTTCGGTCCCGGAAACACGGGGACCCGCACCCGGCCGGCCCAGGCCTCGCCCAGAGCGGCAGCCACCAGCATGAGCTCCGTACTTACGCGATCTCAGGGATGTCGTCCTCGAGGTTGCTAAGCAACAGCGGGATCAGCTTGTGGAAGAAGGAGTAGCGGTCCCGCAGGTCCAGCAGCCAGCCCCCCACCACACAAGTCACCGCCTGCCGCACCTGCACTCGAAGGAAGTGTGGGGGGAGGGAAGGGCTTCAGCCGGGCACAGGACGTGCAGAGGGAACCCGCCACGCAGACCCTGCAGCGAGCTCGGGTGCTGCCATCCTGGCCAGACGCCCGCCTGGGGGTCCCAGAGCGGCTCTGCCGTCCACGCCGCGGGCTGGCGGAGGAAACGCCAGGACCGCCCCATCTCGTGGGCGTGAGCCCACGTCTCCCAGGCTCTGGCCTGGTCCTCTGCTGGCTGCAGCAGGTCCCACGGGTCTCGCCTGCAGGGCCTTCGGCGTGGGAACCCCCCAGGCTGGGCGCTGTCTCACCGCGGGTGTTCAAATGGGCCGTGGGCGAGCCCCCGCGAAACGTCAGCCTGCAGAGGCCACACCACCGAGGCCTCAGGCCTCGGAGCGCGAGGGCCTCCTGAGGAGGCCAACAGGGGGCCCCTGGTTCTGGCCGTGTGCCAAGGCGGCCTGCAGGCCTCTGCCCACTTTGCCCGCCACAGGGAAGAAACGAGGTGCCTGAGGCCCAGCTCCCTCAGAACAGAGCCCGGGGCGGGGACTCAGCCAGCCTGGCGTCGTGGGAGGAGAGCGGGATGGGCTGAGCCCCAGCCTGCGCCCGATCCTGGGGAGCGCGGGAGCGCCACCGCCCCCCTCCGAGGGCTGTGTTACCCCGGGCAGGCGGCCAGGGTACGTGCCCACCGCTGGCTGGGGCTGCGCTTGCAGGGTCCCCCGGCGGGTGTGCCGTAGCAGTGACGCCCCGCCGCTCACAGGTCGGGGGACCAGCGCGGGCAGCCCACGCTCACGTCTAGGCGCCTGCACCGGGAGTGGCCCCTGCGGCCGCCGACCTCCCTGAAGCTCACTCTCCCTTCTCCAAAATGGGAGGACAGGGCGCTGGCTCCCGGCCAGGGAGGAAGGCACCTGGGGCGGGGCTTGACGCACAGGAGGGCCAGGCGCCTGGCTCACTAACCCCAGCGGCCCGTGCGTGTAAACAGGGCCGACCAAGGGAGGGGCGGTTGGGGCTCCGCGCTACTGTTGAGCTTCTCGTGAAATTATTAACAGTCAAAACTGCAGCTAAGGATCCCGGAGAATCTGAGACGTTCTCCCAACGACCAGAGGCCCCGGTAGCTACAAACGGACACCCACAGCCGCCCACGCCGACTGTGCCGCCGCCGACAGAAGTGGCATAGAGCGATCTTTCCGTGAGGTCCTCCTGCGTGACCCCGGGGCCCCGAGGGACTCCTGAGGAATCAGCGTGCCTCAGGGCAAAAGTACGAGCAGCAGGCGAGACCCCCGAAGCTCAGCCAACACCTTGAGCTGGTGGCACCCGAGAGCCTGACGAGGGCCTACCTGCCACCCTGCTGGGTGCCTGAACACGGGGAGCAATTGGGGCCTCTGCAGGATGGCAGGCGCTGGGGACCACCAGACTCCAGGGGGCCGGCCCCTGCAGCGAGGGCATGTCCCGGCCGCCGGGGGTCAGGGACCTGCCGGGACCCTCCGGAGACCGTCCGGCTGCGCTCTCCCGACAGTCACTGCAATGTCCCCCAAGATCCAGGCATTTTGCAGGTTGGAGACTTCAGGTGTCTCCCCTCGTGAGCTGGGAGAGCCCAAGGGCCGGCCTCCCCCAGCCTCAAGCTGGTGTCGCCAGAAACCTGCCGATCCCCATCATCACGAGACAAATTACCCCTTTCGGCTCAGGAAAACAGCACTGAGCAGAGTTGCCAAGTAACGGTTTGACTAGGCAGGAAATCTTTCAAGTAAAGGAGAAAAAGCAGAATGAACCGAGAGTTCTTCCTCTCCGAGTCAGGCTGCAGACCGGGGGCGGGGGCTGGGCCACAGAGACCGGGCACCAACAGCCAAGGGGGAAGAGCCGTGTACTTAACACAGCACGTGAACACGGAAGAGAACATGCCACACTCTCCTTTAACTGGAGCGTCTCAGGGACCCAGTGAACCGCCCGGCTCTTACAAGGAGCCCGTTTACTTCCGTACCCTGCTCTCGGCAGAGGCTAATAAGGCCGACTCCTCAGCAGACTGGCACTCGTCATCCCACCAGACTCGAAAGCAGTTGGAGGAAGTCGCCTTTCCCTGGAGCTTGAGCAGTTCACGCTTGGGGGCTGGGGGTCTTTCTGTCCAGGGCCTGAGTGTAATTAACCGTCTCACGCGAAATCGTTCCGCAGCACATCGCGGCCCGTGCTCACCAAATGCCTTGAATTTTACGCATCTTACGTCATTTCAAGTAAGCCCCGTCTTTATAATAAAAAACGTTTTTTTTAATTAAAAAAAAATTTTTTTTAATCTTTTTATTTATTTTTGAGACAGGGAGAGACAGAGCATGAACAGGGGAGGGGCAGAGAGAGGGAGACACAGAATCAGAAGCAGGCTCCAGGCTCTGAGCTGTCAGCACAGAGCCCGACGCGGGGCTCGAACTCACAGACCGCGAGATCATGACCTGAGCCGAAGTCGGATGCTTAACCGACTGAGCCACCCAGGTGCCCCAATAAAAAACGTTTTTAATAGTATCAACACAATAATATATTTTGTTATTTTATTTAAAAAAAATTTCAGTAGGCTCCACACCTAGCACAGAGCCCAACAAGGGGCTCAAATTCACGACCCTGAGGTCAAGACCTGAGCTGAGATCCAGAGTCAGATGCTTAACCAACCGAGCCACCCAGGCGCCCCTCAACACAATATTTTAGTAACACAGCAAATTCTGTTTCAAGTATACAGTATTTAAATTCAGTTAAAAAAATTAGCAGAAAGGGTTTCAACTAAACCCGTAACATTTTTAGTTCTTAATCCTGAAAAAGGTTCAACATGATATTTCCTAAGTATGCACTGGACCTGAACAGCCACTGTATTTGTTGCCAGTTTTCCTTCATTTCAACGTCAGGGGCAGGAGGCGGGAAGCAGACGGGGAAGGCGGGAAGATCACGAGGCGGGAAGCAGAGGGGGAAGGCGGGAAGGTCACGAGATGGGAGGGGGAAGGCAGGAAGGTCACGAGGCGGGAGGCGAAGGGGGAAGGCGGGGAGGTCATGAGGCGGGAAAGTCACCAGGCGGGAGAAGGAGGCGAAGGTGGGAAGGTCGTGAAGCGGGAGGGGGAAGGAGGGAAGGTCACAAGGCGGGAGGTGGAGGAGGAAGGCGGGAAGGTCATGAGGCCGGAGGGGGAAGGCGGGAAGGTCA